TACGTAAGGATAACTTGGAATCAGAGATGTTTGCAATAAACGAGGGTCTAAGACAAGGAGGTGTTTTGAGCCCCACACTATTCATATTGATTATTGATGACATAACTAAGGAAACAAAAACAAGTATACACAAAGTACATATCGGATATAGTAAACTGCGACCGGTTGGTATAGCTGAGTGTGCATTCGCAGATGATCTCGCTTCTCTTGATTATGCGCTTCCAACGAAAGGGACCTTCAGAAAAATTTAGATAGCTGGAATAATGAGCTGGCAGTCAGAAACATGAAGATTAATGTTAATAAAACCAAGGTGATGCTAATAGCGAAAACTAACCGAAATGTTAACATAGAAATTAACCAACAACTCATAGAACAATTAGATGCATTCAAATACCTAGGGGTTACAATAGACAGAGAAGGTACCATACAGAATGAATTAACAGAAAGAATCAGTAGTGCTTCAAAAGTGTACCATAATCTTAGTAGAGCAGTCATAGGTAAACCGGAAATCAGCAGAAGAACCAAAATGACAGTTTATAAGACAGTATTCCGACCAATCTTGATATATGGAAGCGAGAGCTCGGTTTTAACAAAGCAATTAAAAAGCAAGATACGAGCCATTGATATGAAATATCTAAGACGAGTCAAAGGAATAACACGAGACAAAATAAGAAATGAAGATGTTAGAGAAGAACTGGGCATAGAATCAGTACTACATGCTATTGAAACACAACAAATAAAATGGTTTGGTCATTTGTGCAGAATGAGCGACAACTGACCCGTTAAGCAAGTCTGGAAGGCTAAAGTAAAAAGGTTTAAAATCAGAGGCAGACCACGGAAAACCTGGGATGACGAAGTAGGGCAGATTTTGAAAAGTAGGGGATTGGAATCGGCAGAAGCTCAAAATAAGGCAAAAAACAAGAAAGAATGGACAAAATTCGTGTACAAAATAGAATAAATTTAATAGAATAAATATTTTCATTGGATTTGAGATGTAATGTATATCTGTAACCTGTAATTGTATTGTATTGTATTTACCTCACACCTTAGGGTAGAGAGGTTTTCGATTATATATATATATATATATATATATATATATATATATATATATATATATATATATATATATATATATATATATATATATATATATATATATATATATATATATATTCAAAAGCCAAGAAAATTTCTGGAACTTAATTTAAGTCTGTGCAGACCAACATTATTATTAAAAACAATTAGAAACCGAAAACTATCAACGATTATTGAAATTTGAATTTCTTCGGTGCTTTAGACAAGCAAAACCTAGATTCTGAATTAAGATCTTACGCTAAAATTAAAATTAGATATATCGTAGCGAGAGATAATTAGAAGAATATACGGAAGTTTGATAGAGAAAAATGATGAACAAATAAAATGTCTCGGTCACATAGCTTAAGTGAAATATGGAAAAATGCCGAACAAATTAATAAACGGAGAGGCTGGTACAAGAAGAAAAATAGTACATCCCTAAAGAAAATGGACGGAGTCGGAAGAAGAATCGGAAATGGTTGTTGGTATAAGATTGTGATCTTATACCAACAACCAAAACTTTTTCCTTTTATGTTTATGTACCAACTCCATTGTCTTACATTTTAGACTTCTAAGATTCCAAGACCCTATTCTTATTATTTTAAATACCTCATACCTCATACCTCATTTCTATACCTCAGAAGAAAAATTAGTGGCGACGAAAAGTAAGGAACAGGTACCCCACAAAAGAGAAAATCTTAGGAGGAAGAAGAAGAATATAGTTTTGTTATGCTTCTTTATGATATGTCATTGTGTATCAATAAATTTTTATTTATCTTCTTTAATATTTATTCTCAGAAGATTATACAACGAACAATAAAAGTTATTTTACAGTTTATCAAAAACATAAACACAATGCTTATATATCTTTATATTTAAATACCAGACATTGTTCAAGGTGTAGTCATGAAAATTTAGAATTCCATCCTGATATAAATTAATTATAATAAATATAAACTATTGTTATCAATATAAAAGCCAGTTCTGAATCCAATAAAAAAGAATCGAGGTTGCCAAACCTATATGGATTTGGTAGATCTAGTGGAACAAAAAAAATAATTTTTGTCAGAAAAGTTTTTGTTGTTTATTAGTAGGAGGGTAACTAACATAACTATAAACTAACTTTCGGCATATATAAATATAAGAGTCTATTAAAACGAAGGGAATTCACTTTACTTAAGTTATAAAACTGCCAAATAAAAGTGAATGATACCACTAGAAAAGCTATTGTACTTTTGTTTCGGCCTTTTACTGCCATAAATAGGGATTAATAGAAGAGAAAATCTTTGATCTTATATATATATATATATATATATATATATATATATATATATATATATATATGCTTGTGTATTTAGAACACGTAAATAAAAATAAAAATGTTTTCAAATATTTGTATATACCTTTCTTATATATGTAAAAAAATTTATACAGACAAATAATCACAAGAAAGTAAATTATTAAAAAAAACTTATGATAAAGACGAAGCTTATGATAAACATAGAGAAAACGATAGTTAAATATACAAGTAAGAATGGACTAATGGAGATAGAGTGAAATGTAAAGATTCATTATTAGTATTAAAATTACTAGAATTCGCTACAAAGTACAAACTACTTAATACAATTTTAGCTCGGAAAAATAAGATTTTTCTAGGGAATGTCACAAATCCAGGTATCTGATATTTGTTTTAGTTATTATAGGCCTATAGAAAAAGTAAAAACATACACCTACCTTGATATGAACGTCAATGAAAATTGGGACCATTCCCTAGAAATAAAATGTAGGATAGAGAAACAAGATCTGCATTTCAAAAAATGGCTAAGCTATTCAAATGCCATGATGTATTAGTACCCATAAAAATCAGGCTGCTACTATGTTATATCTTTGTTAACCACAATTAAAGCAGCCAAAATCGTATACCTCGATCACATCATGAGGAACAACGAATGATATGGGTTGCTGCAATTAATTCTACAAGGGAAAGTATAAGGAAAACGAGTACTAGGAAAGCGAAGAATTTCCTGGCTGAAAAATCTACGTACATAATTTAACACAACAACCATAAATATTTTCAGAGCAGCGGTTTGGAAAATACAGATTATCCTTATGGTCTGCGAACATCTGAAACGCATAGACACCACAAGAAGAAGATTGTAGGCCTATATAAAGAAAACCTATACATTTTCTGCAGATATTTCGGCTATTGTTTCTTACCATTAAAGAGGTTAATAATTGAGTAAAATTACAAAACTATCTTTGAAACATAAAAAAACTTTAAAATGGCAATTGCAAAAAGTTGTGAAATTAATTTGTTGTTTCGAAAACTACTGCCAAATAAGGCAAAATCGTTTATAACTATTGTAAAGAATTAACCTAGATATTTATTATTGCGCACAAAGTTGTGTATTGTGGTCCTTAACAAAGACTTAAAATTCCAGTTTCATTAATTAGTTTAAAATTTATTCTATTTATTTATCCCAGACACTTTCTTTTTTTTTTAATAACATTAGTTAAAAAATAATAAAGATACAATAATTCTATGCATATCAAATAAAAGTTAGACTATCAACGTGTGTATCAAAAAAAGTGAAAAAAATTTCTTCATTGCAAAATCTTTTTGTAAAATTATAAACAAATATAATAAACTTTAAACTTTTAAACTAACTCCTAAATAAAATAAATCTTGATATTCGAAAAGCTGATAATTTTTACACAAATTTAAAATAAATCGAAAGTTATTTTAAGACGATTAGATGAAAAGTAGGAATTTATTTTTGATTTTTAGCTAATTCGTTTATAATAATTAAAAAAGTATTAAAAAAGCATTATTAAGTATAAAAGTATATCATTTTAAAGATAAAGTCTTGAATGTTTTATTTATAAGAATAAAATAAAAAATTTGAAATTTTTAGGGAAAATATATTTTTTGACTGTTTAAACAAAATATATTATTTATTATTATATGCCCATTATATCTACTTGTGATTATAATTTTTTTTTCTTATAATAGTTTAATTTAGGGTAAACTAATAAAATATAGTTTTTTAAAAAATATACAAAATTTTGGGCGTCCTGTATGTAGGACGATGGGCACTTAAGGGTACCTACATTAACTATACACTTTTTGTATAGTTATACTAAAAAACATTTGACGTGGAGTCCCTTGTCACATTTAGAAGATCTGGTGGTTGTTTTTCATGGCATAATAATTAGAAAAAGGCGCTGAAATCTTTGCAGAAAACGTATAAGGTTTTCTTTAGATAGACCTATTAGAACCAAAAAAAATTTCAGATACCTGGATTTGTCACATCCCGAATAGGGTCTTTTTGCTTATTTCTTTAGTATATGCAGTGAAATTGGACTATCTATTTTATTTTAAAGAATGAAGTTATTTAATTAATAAGTATTAACTTTCAGGTAAATTTTTATAAATAGATGAAAAAACAAAAACATTGCATCCTTTAAACAAAAAAAAATTAAAAAGCAATAAATACGAAATAATTTGAAATCAGTATTAAGAGAAAAATAAATATTAGGTAAGTATATTACCATTTCCGAATAATATTATGAGCTTTTCCTAATTTTCCCAATTTACACTACAATTAACAAAGTGGTGATGAGTTCCCATGTGGAAGCCGAAACGTCAATTTAGACGAAAGCCAAAATAGTTTATTTTATAATTCTGATTTATTTTTAATCAAATATTTATCTAATCAAATAAAATACATCTTAAATTTTAAACATAACAGTTTGGCAACAATGTCTATAAACTAGAAAAAAAGAGCCTATAAAAGATAGAAAAGTGAGCAACTATTCTTTATATTGTTGCGTTACTACCTTAACTTACCAATTAACTCTTTATAACGGTCGCGAATAATCACGTAGTTGAGTGCTGTTATAGTGTTTAACTTGAAGTTTTCAAAATGGGCTTAGAAGATATTGGTTTCAATAATCCTATATATCAAGATTTCGTTGGTATCGTACCAGGACTATTCGATGATATTGAGAATTTTGAGTTACAGGACTTGGGTGACGAAGATTTATTTGGTGAACTGGATGAACTAGAAATGGAAAATCAGCTCTTTTTCGGAATGGACGAGAACGAGGATGAGGAGAATACTGCAGATGAAAGTGCTAATAACGAGCCAGAAATAGTAAATCTGCTGATTGAATCAGAATTGATGGAGGTTGTCGAAGAAGGAGAACAAGAGGAACAGATTAATCAAGAGGAACAGGTGATTCAAGAAGAACAGGTGATTCAGGAGGAACAGGTAATTCAAGAAGAACAGGTAATTCAAGAGGAACAGGTGATTCAAGAGGAATATGTGATTCAAGAGGAAGGGGTGCCTAAAGAGGAACAGGTGATTCAAGAAGAACAGGTGATTCAGGAGGAACAGGTAATTCAAGAAGAACAGGTAATTCAAGAGGAACAGGTGATTCAAGAGGAATATGTGATTCAAGAGGAAGGGTTGCCTCAAGAGGAACAGGTTATTCAAGAAGAACAGGTGATTCAGGAGGAACAGGTAATTCAAGAAGAACGGGTAATTCAAGAGGAACAGGTGATTCAAGAGGAACATGTGATTCAAGAGGAAGGGGTCCCTCAAGAGCAACAAGTGATTCAAGAGGAACAGGCGATTCAAGAAGAACAGGTGATTCAGGAGGAACAGGTAATTCAAGAAGAACAGGTAATTCAAGAGGAACAGGTGATTCAAGAGGAACATGTGATTCAAGAGGAAGGGGTGCCTCAAGAGGAACAGGTGATTCAAGATGAACCAAATGTGCCAAACGAGCCACAATTAATGGACGCTGCGCAACGAGAAGAAAACGAAGAAGAGGATTTCCCAGTAATAGAATTGGAAGAAGAAGATCGCAGAAGAGGGTAAACAATAAAAATAAAACATTTGTGAAGACGATAAATAGGGATTTTATTAGCTAATAAGTTTAGTGTAGATTACGGAAGAAGATTGGGATGTTCAAGACAAAATTCATATTAAATATTTTTGTATTGAGTGCGTGAATTTTTTGACTAATGTACTTTTTTTTGTGTTGACGTCCATATGTTACTCCGATTTTTTGGAAGTTGGCCTTAATTTTTTTATTGGTAAGCATTCATATTTTTATATTAAATTGATAAAAGCAAATATAAAAGCTTTATATTTTTGTTTTATAATTATTAAGTAGTTTAATACAGATTTTTTATTTTATTGTCATCTCCGTAGACAATTTTCTACGATTTTCAATACACTTCCGAGAGACTTGTCTCTTTCAAAGCTAAACTTTTATATTTATACTAAGGCAAGAGATCGAATTAAATTTGAAATTTAAAGTATAGAACTTCGGAATCATTGACGCAGAGGTTACTATAAAGATATGAAAAGCCCAGGAGACTCAAACTTTTCAAATATGTTCTATCACTATAGATTTAGTATAATTTCTGAAGAAATAATTGATGAAAAATATTTTATTTGATAAATTGGATTACGAGGGTAAAAAAGTAGTTAACAAGTTGAGTTTTTTTCTTTCTAGATACATATTTTTATTTTGTTGAAATAAACTAAATGTAGCCAATTAAAAATATATTTAATAAAAATCCACACTATACAGGGTGCGCCAAACTTCTGGCTTTCTTTGGTTACGGCCGCCTAACTATGGAGTATATATAAAAAATGTCATAAACAAAACTAATATATAAACAACAAGACGTCTTTGATTTAAAATTATTTTCAAATATACAAGGTGAACGAAAACAACGGAATGAACTAAAGTTGAGTGTTTTTTTTTTTTAATAGAATACCCTGAATATTAAAGAATTTTTAAATGTATTTTTTTAAAATATGAAGAGTTTGTATAAGGTTTTATAGGCCTTAGGTTATTAATTTTTAAAATATTTACACTTTTCTTGAGAAAAACGGTAATATTTAAAAGGTTGTGGATTAGGTTTTCAAGGTAGTAAAAATGTCCAAAATTTTCAAGTGTAGTTTTACTTCAAGTTAATATCTTTGAAATCGAACCATAGAATATATAGTGTGATCACTATTTTCAAATACCAAATTTTCTAATTTTTTTAAGAACAGCCAGTATATAAGTATAATATTTTGTAGAAAATATTGCAACCTTTCTTGTGATATCAGATTTTTACATGCATAGCATGTTTTGGCAAATTTTTTATAAATAAATTTTGTGTACCTACTAAAATATAACAAACACAAATTATAAAAATACATTCTAATTTTATAAATATAAATCAAAACATCATTAAAAAAACCTATGCTACTAAAAATTAGTGGAATTCGTCACTCAAAAACCTCATCATGATACAAAATAATATTTACATACCAATAAATGTAATCAATATCCATAAATTAATTATTAAATAAATGAAAAATCAATTTTAAAATCTGCCATAGTAATTTTGAGTAAATAAATATTTTTTTTTTTGAGAATAACCCGCATTAACCATAGAAGGTTATTATCGGTGGTACAATATAGACTATAATATATTATAATGATTAATATAAAATATAAACTATATTTTATACAAGTTTTTACAAAGTTATTTATAATTTAGAATTTTTCTTGAAGTATCACTTATATTTTGATTATACAATTTCTTTTTCTTTAAAAACCTAATAATTTTGTCACAATCCGCACTGTCTAAAGCGCACTTTCCATCACTTAGTAGTCAAGTAGCTGGTCTTTCCATTTGATATAATGGGCAGTCAATAACAATGTCTTCTTCTTAGAGTGCCATATCCCTACGGAACGTCGGCGACTACCATGCTTATAATATTATTATACTGATCTCGGTCAATCTCGGATTCCTCAACCAAGAGAGTAGCCTACAATGTAGCCTACAGTTATATTGGTGTCACAGGCGTAGCATATTCTAGGAGGTTCCTTCCTTAGTAGCTATGCGTGCGTCAGTCTGGTCCCTTCGCTTTACTAAAATTGTTGTTTTCTCTGATAGATCTCGGTTTGCTTGCCGCAATTTATTATTTGGTAAGAGTTGCCATCTTCGTAACCATAAGTTTTTTGTGTACTCATTGATTCATTTTTTCATATCTGAGTGAGGAATTTGGTTAATTCTATCATCATATCTCTCCATTTTACAAGCTTTTTTGGCCATTTGATCAGCTATCTTATTTCCTGGTAATCCCACATGAGATGATATCCACACAATATTTAGTTGTTTATGATTATCTTGTAGAGTCATAAAGTCTTTTTTAATCTGTTCTAAAATCGGATGATTCGGATATATTTTCTGAATTCCCTGGAATGCACTTAAGGAATCTGTGAATATTACTGTCATGTCTTCAGGTCGAATAAAAATTTGTTTTACTGTCTTAGATATCGCAAAAAGTTCAGCAGAATGTATTGAGTAGTCCTTAGGTAATGGAAATTTGAGCACAGAATCCTCTGTGACAATGGCGGATCTTACTGTTTTCAATTCGGGTGTTTTTAATGCATCGGTATAAACTAGTTGACAGGACGAATAGTTATTTTTAATATTGTAGAAGTATTGGAGAAAAAGAGATGAAGGGGTATTGTTCTTAGTATAAGTTGACAGATCTATGTTACAATAAGAAATTTGTATAGTCCAAGAAAGAGCATAATCAATATTGGTATGCATAATACCCGAATATGTGAAGTTGCTAATTCTTTTGCTAAATGATGATTAAAGATTAAGATTTTAATTGTAATTAGAATGGTAATGTGTGGAGAAAACATAGGGGTAGACCGGAATGTTTGAATTAGTTGATAGCTTTCTTGTGTATTGTAAACTGAGACGTAATATTCTAATAGAAAGTGAAGATTAATTTGCTTCGACATAAAGACTTTCAACTGGACTGGTTCTGTAGGCTCCTCGAGCTAGTTTTAGTGCGGTATTTTGTACAATATCTAATTTTTTTATTATTAAGTCCTTAGCTGAATTATATACAATTGATCCATAATTCAATTTACTGCGGGTTAAGGGTTTGTGAATATTTCGTAGCTGTGTTGTGTCTGTGCCCCAGTTATGATTTGCTAGTACTTTAAGAATATTTATGTTCTGTAAACATGATTTTTTAAGTAATTGGGTGTGTTTGTTCCAAGTAAATTTTGAATCAAAAATCATACCTAAAAATCTAAGTCCTTCAACGTTTTCTAAAACTTGATCATGCAGTCTTAATTTTGGAAGATTTGCAACAATTTAATGTTTTCGAGAAAAGCACATTATTTTGGTTTTAACCGTAGAAAATGTTCTGTTGTTTTAAACCATTCTTGTAGGGAATTTATAGAAAGTTGAATAATGTTAGTCCATCAGAAAGAACGATTCTGTAAGATGTATTATCGAAGTCAACGAGAATTGATTCAGGCATGACAAGATTGTCGAGGGGTGTATAGTACACCTGTCTACGGAAGCTTAGGATGTGACGCTATATTAAGGGTCTTGGATTCCCGCTCTTAAGAAAGACATCGGTGAAAGTAGATGAAAGCCCTTCTTAGCAAGATATTTTTTGATAATTTGATGAGGAATAGTCTAGAAGACTGAAACATTTAACAACATTAACCTATTAGCAGGAGTGACTAATCTTCTCGCTCTAATGGCATTATCTTCTAGTTTAATTCCTCCATGATGTGCTAAGAAAGTGTCAACAATTTTTTTTTGATCACTTTGCTTTACTAGATTTATCGTAAATTAAATTGTATCTTCGAGAAAGATCAGTTCAATAACTTTTTAATGTCAGTACCGACTGTTCTATTAGAAACCCTTTACTAGCTATAAAGGTGCTACATTCAGATTCGTCATTGAGATATTTTAAATTAAAAATCATTTTTAAATTTTAAGTTTAATTTCTGACTAAAAATATTTTTTCGGTTTTTTCATATGAGTTGCCGTTTTTATGCACAAAAATAAAACATCATAACATTTATTTATTCATCCTTAACTATCTAATAAAATAACAATAAACCAATACAATAACAAAAAGTACTACTAATAAAATTTAAAATAGGCACACAGCTATACAAAATGTTTAAAATTACCTTCCTTAAACGTGACACAAGTTGCAACTCCTAGCCTCATTGGTTGACATATTTTTGCAAATATTCCTAATGTCTTTTTTATTTTCTTATGTAAAAGTACTTTCGTTGAATTGACTGAAACTTTGCATAGAAGTGGCTTTGGTCATGATGACCGAAACTTCTTAGTGCCTCAAAACTCAAAAATCAATTGTTTCTATCGACAGATATTTTTAAGATAGGATAATCCTCAATTATTTGTGATTAAAATCATATTTTTATTTAATACTAAAGTTTGGCTTCGATAGAATTAGCTCTTTTAAAATAATTATGATATTTCTTTTAAAAATTAAATTAAAGGTATGAGTGTAAAACTGATCGTATGCTTAAACATTTCCTTTGTATGTTTACCATATATGTTGCCCACCTACCTAACCGAGGTTTATTTTGTTACAATAAAGCCGCTCTGATGAATCCCTGAGCGTGAAAAGTGTCCTCCTTGTACAATCCTGTATGAAGGAATACTAATATTTATATGTAATTACGTGGCTAAAGGTTTCAAGCCAAAGCCAATAAAAAAAAAAGAATTAGCTCCCTTGCAAAATACTGTCAAAAACTCTATTCCTATGAAAAAGTATTAGTTTATTGAAATTGTTACACATGTTAAGATCTAAACGTAACGCAGATGTGTTGCTAATGTCAATTTCAATTTTTTCTCGTTACAACTGCATACCATAGAAATTTTCAACAATAATAGGAAACTTTATTAAATGTAACTTAAATAAAAGGAACTAAATTTTAAATTCATAATTCAAAACAGTTTACTCAGCAGCTATAATTATTTAATTAAATTTTTAAAATGATATCCACCAACTTCCAT